CGCCCTATTATATTTTTAATTTAAAAATATTAGAATTATTAAATATTATTTTCAATAACTGCTTCAATTAATATAAAAGAGGTTGCAGTTTTTGTAAACTGTTAATTGGTGAAGCAATAATATTAAATTAACATATTTAAGTTACATATTAATTTATAAATACCCGAGTAAAAAAATGTAAAACTTTGTTTCAATCTAAGCCAACATGATGTTATTGTATGATATATTATCTATCATACTGATAATGTAAAAAGCATTTTTGTATATTTTTAAAATTGAACAGAGACTTTTTTATTCAATTACCTATAAAGATTACTAATTTAATTTTTAATTATCTACCCGTATAAAATAAATAAAATTATTTTATTTTACTTTTTTTGATTATATTTTCGAACGAATTCATAGGAATAATGTTTATTCAATGCTAGATACTTTATATACCAACCTATGACTTAAGTATTATAATTCAATATACATTATATGGAATCTATAATAGGTAGATACTTTTGAGTTTACATAATTTTTATTCATTTTAATTTATATTTTAAACTGTATTTTAACTTGGTCGGTTCTACAAAACCTTATACCCTTTCACTATATTTATAATTTGTTCGTTGTGTAAATGAAAAAGTGATGATAACGCGCACTCTTAAACATTTTCCTTTAAATGAAAAATGCATTGTTTTTATAATGATGTGTATTTTCCTGTATCTATATATATATATACGATTTCACTCAAAAAGATTGCTTCCTACATCTTAATTAATGAAATAAAAGATATCCTGTCTAAAGAATTACATGTTTTCTCAGATTTTTTTGGTAAAATGTTGATAAAATAGTTTAAATTGGTTTCACAAAAAGTCTTGAAAATTGATTACAAAATTTCTCACACGTATAACATATACTTACTGATTAATGAAAACAATTTAACTTAATTTCCAAAAAATTGTGTAAAAGAGTTTGAATATAAAATTTAGACAAAACAATAAGAAATTATGAAAATCAGTAACGTATTTGTAATTAAAAATGCATTAAACTTTCAATTTTTCATAAAATTTTCTTTATAGCCCAAAATAAATTTAACCAAAAAGCAGCAGAAATATTTTATTGTTATTTATTTAATTGAAATCGATTATAATTTTAATAAATTTCAGATACAGGATATTAATTAATTGATTTTATTCTATAATTTATAATTTATAATTTACTAAATACTGATTAGTAATTTTAAAGATATTTTATAGTTTCGAAATATTATAATGGAATGTGTAGGGACTTGAAATTTTCAATTTTCCTAATTTAAAAATTAGGAAAATCGATAATTAATAAAATTGGACATACTACAATTTCAATGTAATTTAATTACCTATCTAAATGCCACATTTTTGTTTTGAAAAAAATAGAATACTAAGAATTTGAATTCAATCATCTTATTAAGAAATGTTCATCTATCATATCAACCAACATAAGTAATATAAAATGATTTACTTACCTCTTTCCTTCAGAATCGTTTTTTCGAGATTCATGGTAAATTACTTTTAACCATTTTATTTGGAATTTTTTTCCTTTTATTTGTGATTTAGCAATGGTTTCTATTTTTTTATGTAAATAAAAAATAAAATATAATAAATAAATATTATTATATTATAATTATATTATTTATATTATTATTATAAATAATAATAATAATATTTCTATAATAAATAAATATCTGGTTTTTATAAAATCTATATAGGTAATAGTCATATAATGAACCACATATTTCTCGAAATATAATAAACATTTTATTCCAGTTAATGTTGTTGAATATCTTTCTTTTTTTTTAATTCTTAAATTGGTTAAATGATTTCGATAGCCTCCACTTTTCCCTATCCTTCACAGCTACTTTCAGCTCCTTATAATTTGTTTTACCTATGACTTTTATGATCTATTTCATAAATGGTGTTCTTGGTTTATCTCTTCTAGCTTTTCGTTCATCTTTCATTCTATTATTGTTGCTATCCATTCATTGTTTCTCATTATATGTCCGATAATTTATTATAGAATATCTTTTACAAGTTTAATTTCAAAGTACGAAACTTTTTTCAATCAATATACATAGTAAATAATATAATTCTTGTTGGTTTATTTTTGAGTACTTTTCCATTTTTTATTTTATCTGGTTTATTATTGTTGTTAGCATTTTTGAGACATGTGTTTATAAATTTAATATACTAAATTGTTCACAAGAAACTCTACCTAAATAAATATTTAAAAAAATTCTAAATTTTTGTATAAAATATTATATAGTAGAAATTGTATTAAAAACATATCAATAATGAAGAAGCTATTAAAAGAGTTGAATTAATTATCGCAAATAATTTGACGTTTTTTTTTATTTCAACAGAATAATGTATCTATTATTTAACATACATTATTTTTAAATTATAATAATAAAGTGGGGAAAGTATTTTTTATAAATACATATATATATAAAGCCAATATAATGGTGCATATACGACCTTAACTCTTCAGTTGTTTGAGGCGTTCACTGAGTTGGACGTGGACTCGATTTGACAGTGCAGTACGGAAAGTAGTACGCGGTAAGTAAACATTCAACATAATTTATTAGTTAGAAAATTTTTTATACTTAATATGTTCAATATGTTTATAAAGTATACAATATGAATATAGTAGTAGATACATAATATTTTATTTTTTGCAAATGTCTGATGAATTGCGAATTTTTTTTATACTTTTCTTATGATTTTAATGTTTAAATCTAAGAATTTTTAGTTCACTCAAATATATATTTTAAAAATAAATATTTAAAAAAATTAAAGTTTATATTTCAGAATTGTATATAATTTTTGTTGCAATATGATGAAAATACTACCAGGTAATGGCATAAGTTTTGTCATTCGGATTAAATAAAATTTTTAAGCTCTCAGGTTATAATTGTATATTAATTGTTATATTATAAATATAAATAAAAATATGCATTTATATATGTATATATATATATATATATAGATACGTGTATATACACTTTATATTATATAGGCTATAAATAGATATTATAATGAAATATACAGGATATTTCAAGATTAACGAAATCATTTTTCTTGATCAGTATGTACTGTCGAGAAAAAAATTTATAGTTTGAAGTTATTGCACTATTTGAACTTAACAAAGTTTTAACTATTTTTATTACAATTTTCTACAGTTTTTACTTTTTTAAATATCAATTTTTTATAGTTTTCTTGCGACTCTACTCAGTTCATTTCAATTTCAAGTATAAATATTGACTACAATAGTTGTTAGTTCATCTCAACATTTTTAAAAAATTTAATTTTATTAATATGTGTAATATTTTTTATATAATCGCTTTGTATGATTTTTTTTTTTTAGACGATTTTTATTTAATCATTATATTTGGTGGAAATAAAATTTTTATTATTAAATTATACTTATATAATAATATTTATGTTACAGTGGCGTATATAGGGGGGGGCCCCCTAGGCCTGGGCCCATAGTGAAATTTCAGATTCAATTAAAACATTTAATGCATTTTGCTAAATTATATATTTATATGATACCATGGCCCGTACCAACTATTATTATTGTTGTTCTATGCTAGTATATTGTTTTTAAGTAATAATATTCATATTACTAACTGACACCATGGTTCTCCAGAAGTGTATTTTAGAATTAGTTTGTTTATTCCATATCTTGATGAGCTGTCTATGTCATTAACTAACAGTTTAACAAACATAAAAATGTTCTTTTAAGTCTTCAACATATTGTACCATTTTATGTGATTAATTCTAACTATACTGATGTATCAGATGTTATTACCTTTTACCAAACTGATTTCAAAGAGAGTTATAATCCGAGACTATGGAGAAGTAAATGGAAACTTTTTTGTTTAAATTCATATAATAGCATTCAAAAAAATGCTATTGAAGGTTTAAAAAAATGTAATAAAGATGAATTTTCAACAAAATATGTTCTGTTGAAAATATTATGTGCTATACCTGTTACTACTGCATCTGTCGAAAGGAGTTTTTCTAAACTAGGTTGACTTAAAACATTTTTGAGAAATCAATAAGGCAACATTAGATGTTGGGTCTTTGCGTTGATGACGATTCATCTTAATATACCTCTAAATTTTGAAGAAATTGTTAATATTTTTATTAAAATAAACAGAAAAAAGAATTTTACATAATATTAGGTCAAAAACATTTTAAATCTACCTACTGTAGAAAAATGATTAATTTATTATGTATCTTGTTTAATAATAAATATATATAAATAAATTTAAATTCCTACATTTGTATCATTTATGTCATAATTAAAACCACCCGTTTCCTAAAAAATTGTTAGTTGTAGCTATGGTGGAGTTAAATTGGTCCATAGTGAAAATAATTCCTATTTACGGCACTGCTATGTTAAATGGTTATCACAAGATGCATAGGTTATATTATTTTCCATAAAGTTATATTATAATTTATAAATAAAGTAACGACTTTATTAAAGGGTGTTTACGGATCTCGAACCTCCTTTAAGGAAAAAAAAGTTCAAAAGTCAAATTATTTGCTATGAAGGCACTGAGATAAAAACATAAATTTATATCATGTGGTTGTAAATAACTCTTAATTTGTATTTATAGTAATAATAGAATAATATACTTATTAATTTAAACCTCATATTTATTTTTTAATTATTATAATATCATTTATTTTTTAGGAAAACTTTAAAACCTCCCCCCCAAAAGAATTTGAAAATTCGCAACTGAATCTTTCCATTTATAGAAATAAAGAATATATAGAATATATAGAATAATTATAACCTACAAGAATTTTAATTTATAAAGATTAAATGGCAAGACGTTTTTATTTTATAAGTTAAACAATATATATATAAGAATGGAACTTTAATTTTAATTTTTAAATTTTTTTTTTTATAGAAATAATCATCAAAAAAATTGTAAATTATAAAAATGATTTTTTAATATTTAGCAGAAATGGAGCAGAATTTAAGCATAGATACATTGATGGTAGCAAAAGAAGAACTTCGAGAAGATGAGGCTACACGGAATAATGCTTTAGTTCAAATGCGATTGTGGTTGAAGCAAAATAATAAAATCATATACTCTCGCAGTGGTAAATATTATATATTTATATGTTATAATTTATAATTCAATGGTGGATCCAGGAGGATTTGGGATTTAACCCCCCAAAATCCGGAAAAATATGTATTAAAAATCAATAGTTTTCATTATCAGGGGAAAATATTTTTCAACCTCCCCCCCCCCCTCTGAGAAAATCCTGGATCCGCACTGTAATAATTATATCAATTTTATCAACTATTATGAATATACATTTAATTTATTCCTGGTCCATGCGCAAGTGGGGTTTGGTGGTTCTAACCCCTCAATTCAGAATCTTTTAACATACATTTTTACTAAAAATATACCTAGTCCTCATTGTATAAAAGTTAAATTTACTTGAAAATGTATGCATAGTTGTCTATTTTTGTTTTAATTTTTAGTTTATTTAATTTATTAATTTATTAATTAATTTTTTTATTTTTATTTTATAACCGTTTTAATTTTCTCCATTTGACGCCTTTCTGACAAGTTGGCTATTCAAACTATTCAGACATTTATTGACACCATAATCTAACATAACATTATAGTTTTGAACCCCCTCCCTATTGGACGATTCTTTCGCACAGGCCTAATTTATTCATTCTGGTAAATAATATTATGTATCAGCTTACCATTTGTCGTAAATGTTGCATGTTCACTGAAAAATGGTTTAATTAAATTGCATTGTAACTATCAGTAATTATTTTAAAGTGAATTCTCAATATTAATTTAATTTCTAAGTTGAAGTCAGGAAAATATTTTAACAATATTCACCAGTAATTTTTCATTATTTACAAAGTAATTGGTCATTACTTAACATGACTATTTAAAAGTTAGAGTTTATTATAATAAAATATAATAAAAATAACACTAATAATATGATAATAACAAATAACTGAAATAATCATTAAATATTATACAATAGGTATTTATTAAAATACAAGTTATATATTGGATAAGCATAAAATATAATAAATAAAGTGATGTAATGATAGGGAGTAAATATCCTAGCCTAAAATTCTAAATTCAAGTGGTTAAATATTTATAATTTTTAGTATACATAAATTTACGTACTATAATAGTATAGTATTTATATTCCATATTTATCAATAGTCAAAAGTAAAAGCAGATTATTCAACCAATTAAGACAATATTATAAAAATATACAATAAAACATTTATGTATCACGTTTTAGCATTTTTTATAAATACTAGTATTTACTAATTATAATCAATGGTTTTAGGTAGGTAACTGAACTACATATTTTTTTTTCTTTATTTAAATTTAATATCTATATAAAAAACTCTAAAAATAAGCTTAAATAATTTTGACCTCTAAAAATAATTGTGTGCATTATAATTAAAAATCATATTTGACACTCTCTCTCGATACAAAAACAAAACATGTATTATGTACAATAATGTATAATATGTGTACATTGTACATTGTATATAGTTAAAAATTACGTATCGATAGGTATGTTATAAATCATAACTTATGATGTTACAAAAGGAATATTGTAGTACCAATTATAACCAGGACTGGTGAGAACTTTTAAGGGCTCCATGGCTAATTAGTTCCAAGTTCCCTTTACTTACAGTCGTAGATCAAGTCATATCGCCAAGACAAACATACTATTTTTACATACTTTAGTACAATAAAAATATTCAAATTTATATTTTATGCTACGGCGAATGAGATTATAAAATAATTTTGTATAAAAGACTGAAACGATTGGCCTTTTCAGAGCTACGGGCCCCTGAGCTATAGTAACCCTCCCTGCTCCACAATTTCGCCGGTCCTGTTTATAAGCTACTATAAAATACCATTAAAATCATAAATGATTTTAATTCTTATGACTAATAAGTAATATAATTACAAATTGGCTAGTTAATATTTATACAAAGAATACTAATCTTTAAAGTTTACTTACCAGTATATAGAAAACAGCCAATAATAAAAAAAAAAAAATTGTCACGGACAAATTATATTATTTTAAAAATCGTGAATCTGAACCATCCAGGGCATCACTCAATTTCATACAAAAAAATGCGTTCAAATCGGCCCAGGCGTTTAGGAGATCAGTGATAAACACACGTACAGTAGAATTATATACATAAATACAATATACAATATTATACCGCACTGTTCCGCAGTAATAAACTAATCCACCTAATCTCTTACTCATTATCGTTTTTTGGAGAGCAATGATGTATTGATTTTTAATTTAAAAGATCACTAGTCAGTATCATTCAACCTAGAAGTTTCATCCACTTTTTTTTAAAAAATTGAGAAAATCAAAGAATCCAACATATCTTTTTTCTCGGTATATTAACAATTGTATCTTTATAACCAAACATGGGCATGAATATGAATTGTTATAGTAGGGGAGCAAAAATTGTAAACATAGCATACAGGGCCGTCCCATGGTTTTTCGGGGCCAGGGGCAAATTAATTTGGGTGCCGTTCAACCATAATAATAAGATATGATAAACAAAATACTCGCTGAGAATAACAAAATTCTTGTAAATGTATTTTTCGAAATCTTATTTAAATTCGTGTACGGCATTACATATTTCCATAATAAAATTGAATATTATTCATATTATTTATAATTTAATCGCTCAATGTAAGTGGACAAGTCGCTACATGCTCACACGCGCATGACTTTAATAACCGACACGCAGCGTGTAAAATTGCTCAATGTAATTGAGGCTTTATTATTAATTATTATTTTTTCTATTGTACTTATTTAAAATCAAGCCTATGTGAACTGGTATATTTTCGTGGACACTTGAGCATCCTCAGATTTTTCATGGAAGTTGCGTCCTTCCCTAGTACCTAACGCCAACTTATATATTTAATTAGTTTTTTGTCAATAATAATGGTTAGTTATATTTTATATAGTTAGTGTATAAACGGATATAGTTTTAAATTAGGTACCTATCAGTACACACTTACCTATTACACATCTCAAGGTAAAATGTTTTGCAATATTGTAATGCCATTATTTGGTAATTAAGGTCCTTATTTACTAATGATTTATGTTAAAATTTTAAAATTTTGATAAATAGTTTGAGACTTAGATGACTAATATTTTTAACGACTAATTTAATTTTAAATAAATATATACATCATCGTACTAAAACTGTTATATTTTTAATTATAAATAAGTATTGATATATTTATTGTATTTATATAATATTATATATATATATATATATATGTTACGGTCAAAGTGTATAATCGGGCATTGTAGTACAATGACTAATATCAATGGACAAAGTGAACAGTTATACACTTTGCCCGGGCATTGTACAGAATGACCAAAGCACAGAGGACAATCACAATCAATTAATTGAAAATGTATAAAACAATTTTTGTTACCTTAATAATTTACAATAATTTATTAAATGAATTCTTCTAATACCTCGTTGTATTTTACTTCACTTAAAAATATATAATTCAAATTTTTTTTACTCAAAAGAATATTAAATTTTTCATAAAATTTTAAATCGGCCATTTTAAATATTAAAAAAATAAAAGTTTTAAGAAAATTCAAAATAGTAATATGTGTAATAAAACAGCCGTTAAATGGTATAATTTAAACTAATCTGAAATATAATAATATATTATATTTCCAATTTTAAATGTCTGTACACAATGCCCGGCTAGGTATTGTATTAAAATGACCCAAATGTACCATGTACCAAAATTAAAAGCAGATTCTGCTTTGCTCAAGTATGACGGGCATTATACACAATGCCCGAATTATACACTTTGATCGTAGCATATATAAATATATATTATTATATTATTAATATAATATTATAAATATAAATATTATTTTAATCAGTAAAATGAGTGTTTGAGTGGACATCCCTAAAATGTGATGTCCATATATCCGTTTTTTTCAAATTTGTATTACATATTTTGAACCCACAGACACAATGACAGAAAACAATAGCTTCTATAGATAATAAAATATTTTCTTAATATCTTATACCTTTTTGAAGAGCGAGTATTATATATTAAAATAATTCCAAATACAATTTATTGTTCAATAAGACATTACTTTTTTGTTTGTCTATAGCGGGCCTCACACGATCAGTAATACTGCCAGTAAAAATATTGACAGTAGGTATATCGATATCCGATTTTTTCATCAGTCATCAGTATTGTTTTTTCATACTGACAGTACATCAGTACTTACCTCACATGATCAATAATATTGTCAGTATCTGAAATACTGTCAGTATTACTAATCGTGTGAGCTCACTTACACTTTTAAGTATGTAGGTCTATAATCTAAAGGATTATAAGCAGTGCTCGAATTGGGAAAAATTTAATAGAAGAGCCCAGTTCAACATTTTAAAAACTGCATTCCACGTGCGCAATTATTTAACACATACCCGTGGGGGGCTTCGTCCCTCACCACAACTCCTCCATCGGTAAACTTACATATATTTTGAATACCACTTTTCAGCTAAACAAGTATTTAAATTCCAAATATATTTTGATAGCAATACCAACATCCTACATGTTACAATAGAAAATAAAAATAAAATACTAATTAACATAATTGTAGGTGATCAGGCAGTCTCATGACTCAAATAATATAATCATATATTTGGTTTTTGTTTTTATCTATTTTTACTCTTTAGTGCGAGCCACGGCCTTTTAGAAAATTAGTCTAAGGTCGTGGTGTGGGCATTTATTTTTTTCCGAAATGACAATATCGTCGATCACCAATATTAATAATAAACCGTACAATGTATAAAGTATAATACATCAAATTCACAAACATTGTTATTTATATATTTCCAGAAATAATGACCTTGTCCCTTATCATAACCACCAAATAATCTTTAATTATAAAAATGGTTTTGATATTATAAATCGTAATATTCGTTTTCAAATTGACGTAAATTGAAATTCACATGAAAATTATTTTGGACATCAATTAGGATGAACGTGGCGTCCCCCTCGTTCCAAAGAAAAAATATAATTGGGGTACGCGAAAAAAAAATAGTAGAGGAGCTCCGTCCTCCTCCACAATTCGAGCACTGATTATAAGAAATTAAATAAAATCAATATCAAAATTGTATTAACTTTTAATTTTAAGATGACAGTTTTCTATTGAGATTTCTACGAGCTAAAAAATTCAGTTTACCTTTAGCTCAAGAAGCTTTAGAACGGTATTTATTATTACGACAAACATTTGGTCGCCAATTTGGTTTTTATCAATTTGACACTACATGTCCAAGACTTGAAGAACTTCTGAAATTGGGGTAATTAAAAATAATTTCGAGATTGGAAGTTATAAACTATAGAAAATGAACTAAAATTAATATTTTTACGATTTATAGATATATATTTGCAGTCCCAAAACGTGACAAAAACGGTAGACGAATTATCATAACAAGACCAGGTAAAATGATTTATAAAAAATTAATAGCAAAAAAAATTCATAATTTTTATTTACATTTAAAAAGTTGTCTTATATGTTAATACTATGATTTTTATCTTATTTGTTTATGCTTTAGCATAGTTCTTCTTAATTGGAGCTAATGAGATCTTAACATCAGTAATTCATGGTCATATATTTATTTACTTTTAAGTAATTTCAGCATTTTTTTTTAAATAGCTTGATTAAATAGGAACTAAAAATTATTATAGGAGTCTTTAATCCATCAAAATGGTGCAATACAGAAATGACTAGGATGCATGCTATTACATATGAAACATTGTTGGAAGACCAGGAAAACCAAATTCGTGGTTTTGTACACTACACAGATGCTGCTGGTATGTGTTTACAACAATTGACATTATTTACACCAAGAGAAGCAATTCGAATTGTTAAAAATGGAGAGGTAAATTTGGAATAAATAAATTCAAATTTTTAATAAGTAAAATTATTTTATTTGTTCACAAATCATATTTTATTAAATTATAATAAAATAAATAGTAAATCACTATGCAATTTTAATCCTATATTGAATCATTCCTTAATTTCTTTAAATTATAATTGGCTTCAGTATTTAACTTCTTGTATAACTATACAAATAATAATAATAATAATAATAATTTGTTAAATAAAATATAAATATTTTATAAAAATGTTTAGCAAACAATTCCAATGCGACACAAAGAAATATATGGAGTAAATGTACCATTGAGTTTAAAATTTGCATTAGATTTTGGATTGTCTTTGATATCTGAAAAAATTAGAAGTCGTGTAAAAGTAATAATATTGATCAATATAATATTAAAAATAATTACTCTGTATAGCATGAACATTGTTTTTTTCATTTCAGATATTCAATTCAATAAAGGAGAGCCATGCATATATTGATCAGTCACTGTTGCCTAAAGAATATGGTGGAGAGATGGAAATGTCAAAAATGATAGGTAAATTAATTTTTAATAACACCATAATTTTACAGTCAACATTTTATTTATTTAAACAAATGATAGATTTATGGAAACAAGAGTTATTAGAAAAACGAGAACAAATTCTTAAGAGTGAAAAAATGTCAGTTAATGAGGATATGTTTAGTGAAGGGGCAAGACAAGGACGAGTATCAGCGTTGACAAACCAAAGTCACCATCATATGGTTGGTAGTTTTCGTCAACTAACTGTAGATTAGTTTTCATAATTTTGAACATCACTATATAGTTATTTGAACTTTAATTTTATGCAGAATTTTAACATTAAAATGTTATATCTTAATGCCAAATCTCTGAAAACAAAAAAAATGTTATTGGATTATTTAATGTAATTACAAATATATTAGTTAATCAATAAAAGAACATTTGTAATTAAAACAATGATAAATCTTACTTAAGAAATTGAAATTTATTATGCATTGAATGTATTAGGTAGATAATATAATATTTAATACCAAAATTACAATTTATGATGGCTAATAAAAAAATTAGGTTTACATATATTTTTAGTAGAAGAAAAATAATTTGATTGCAACTTCTATACTTTTTTTTTAAAATATAACTTACATTTTATAATACAAATCACAAACATACCAGTCTTTTATAGTATAAGTATATATACATATGTATATGAAAAATATATATACCAATATTTTCAATTGAATATTTATGAATGTAATCCATACACATGTATATATTAAAATTAATAACACATTACATACCAGATTCCAAATTATTGTATTTTGTCCTACAATTAAATGTATATATTTGTAGACAAATAATCTGAAACAAAAAATATATAATTTCATGCCCATAAACATAATTTCTATGATTTTGTATTATGATCATTAACAAAATCATAGAAATTTACACATGGCATGCAATCAATTATCAAACTTGAGTTTAATAATTTTTCTACGTATATTTAATATTGGACAAGGTATTAGTATTCATTGAATATTCTAAAAATAATAAAAGTTTAAATTTAAATCAGAATTTAATGTTATGTGAAAATATAATAAGACATCTTAAATCACGAAACTAAAAAAATGAATTTAAATGACAAGAAGTTAATATGTCATAGATAAACACCTTTAGTTTTTAAGAAAAAATGTATTTTAATTTTAATGTTAGTGGAAATAATAAAATATTCAAGTTGAAAAATGTAAAAAAATTTATAATTGAATAAAAATTATTATTTTTAAATAATTGTATACTAGTTATATTGTAAGTATTCCTGTATACATATAACATATTCACTTACTATTGTTTTAAAGGTATATATGATGGTAAATCTGTTAAGGGTGCACGGCGCTTGGGTACAATATGAATGGACTCATTTGATTCATCATTAGATATGGTTATCTCAAAGTATCTAGGTTCATTAATTTCAACATCAACAATGTTTTTGTCTTCACTTTGAAAATGAGGGTATAGACATTGTTGACCATGTGGACACTTATTCTTGGATTCAAAAATTGGACATAGATTCAAGTGTTTTTTAGGACACTTAAATTATGTTGAAAAATAACTCTATGAATATTTCCTCAAATCATGTGTTATAAAAATAAAAGCAAACATACACTTTTTCTTAAAATATAATGCACATTTAACTTACTTTTTTGCCAAGAGTACAGTAACCATGAAGAAAATTTTTACAAATAGGCAAATTTTTATCTCTATATTCATGCAAATATGGACAATTTAATTGAACACAAACACTATTTAAATAGTGTTTACAAAATGGAATTTTTTCTTCAACAATATTGTGTGACAATGTACATTTTTCTTTAGAACATTTTCCTTTTAAGTAACTGTAAAAATAAAAAAGTTTATACAGAAAAATCATTTAAAAATTTATTTTTATAAGCCAACTTTGTGCACAATGTAATAAATTTTTTATAATGGCGTTTATCACATTTTCCTTGATCCAGTTTTGAACAGACCCCAAAACGATTGAAAACTAAACAAAGTTGTTTGGTGAACATTTTTTTGTTTCTGAAAATAAATATTAATAGTAAATATATATAAATAAATAATTAATATAAAAAGTATACTTACTTAAGGGTTTTATTGTTTGTTAAGCTGACATTTTGAATTTTATTTTTATTATTTAAAGTTTTTAAACTTTGTGGTATTTTATTATTAGACAAAGTACATAAATTAGATGTATTTAAATCTGAGGATTTAGTTTTTACCAAATTACAATTATTATTTGTTTTTGACCTAAAAATAATTATTAATCAGTAAAGAATAAATATATTTTTAAGTTTAAAAACCAACCTAAGTTGTGGATTTATATATGAATACATTGAATATGATCTCTTTCCATTTCTTTTAATATCAACAGTTTTATGAACAGTTCTTTTGAAAAACAATATATTTTGTTGTTCGTTATTGGTGATAACGTTTTTTAATTTAGGGGTGCTACTTTTTTGTTGTAATTTTCTCATTAAAGCAAATCTATGGGAAAAATGTTTGAGCAAATAATTATTAGTTTTAGATTGAGTTGAGTTTATTAATGACTGTCTAATAATTTTATTTTTTCCAAATAAAATTAACTTGTCAGATTTTGGTACTATGGGATGATTATTGTTTTTCACATTATTCACCAATAATATACTTGGTCTAGTCCATTTTAATTTATTAGTACCATTGGAATTTGATGATTTAGATTTAAGTATAGGCGTTGGATTATTAACATTGGTCCATTTAGTTTTATCATAAGATGGTAATATCGTGTTCAATGTTGGACATTGTAATGTTGAAAGTGGTTTACGTGCAATCAAACTATTTCCATTATTGTTCAGTTTATTGTTGATTTTCCATTTATTTCTAAATAATGATTGGCGTACTAATTTTGTACTACCTATTTTCACAAGATTAGGTGATATCATTAATTTTCCAGATATTTTCTTAAAAGGTTTTTTCTTAATACTTGTTGGCTTCTTATGGGAGACTAATGAATTTGATGTATTTTTCAAGTTTGAATTCAACAAATTATTAGAAATTAAACGGGTTTGAAATTTTCTATTGACATGAACATTTTTAGTTTGATTACTCATTTCATTATTCACCGAAGAGCACACTTCTTTATTTACAACATACTTAGATGAACTTAAATAATCTTGGACATTTGACATATATTTATCAATATTAAGTAATGTTTGTGAAACAGAAATTTCATTCTTGTTTAACAATGTTTTACAATTCTTGATACAACTATTTTTCACGATTTCATTAATTTCCAAATTGTACTCATTTGTTTTTTGAAAACTTTTCACTATTTCAGGTTTTTTTTTACTAATAATATTTTTGATGAGTGCTGTTTGTAAAGAATTTGTTTTAAAAGATACTTTAGATAATGAACTATTAGTTTTAACAAGCAAACTATTTTGTTTACTTTTACTTGGGTTCTTTATAAAATTACGATTATCAATTTTTGTTGAAAGGGATTTATGAACATTATTCACTTTACGATTATTCACTTTACGATACTTGAACTTTGATAATGAAACAACATTATTGTTAGTAGTAACATTTTCTTTAGTATTATTTAGAGTTGAATGTAATTTTGGTTCATCATCATCTTCTAATTGTTCTAAAAAATAAAAAAAGTTATAATAGATCATTAATATTTTACACTTCTTATCTAAATAATTGAATATAGTACTGCATGTTTTTAATTTCAAATGTAATAAAGAAATTAATTAATTTTATTTAATAGTTTGATTATTTCTAAATTATCAATTCAACTAATCAAATAGTAAATGTGTAAGGGTAACATAATTTTACCACCATTTTTTACATGAGTATATAGTTAAATTTTGTATTTTTGTTGCTCGCATAAAACAAGATTTAAGGAATTTAAAAAGTAAAATAATAATAATAATAATTATACTCTACTAGATACACTGAAAAATAAAATAAAACTAATACTTACTTTTTAGAGCCATTAATCGTTTCAATAATGATGACTCTTCTTCTTCTGTGCTACTTTTATCATTACTAAAATAATCATTCATCTCCATCGATGTTCAATAAAATATTTAAATAAATATACAATATTATTAAAAACAGACATAAAAAGTAATAGATGGAAATCTTTACTATTGAACTGATTTAAATTAAGATCAATACTTCAAGGTATTTCTTAAATCAAATTATAAAATTATATTTCACATTAAAATTTAAAACTTCTGAAAATAGAGTTACAAATTTATGATTCGATATGTTGTCCAAATTCTACTTTTTGTTCAAGGATTATATCATATACCATTGACTCTTGTCAGAAGATTTATATTGTTACATTTCCACTGTTACCAATCTATGTTATCAAATTTAATAAAATGAAAATAATTATAATAAAAAATTGTTATAACTATAAAAAAAAAAGAAATTTCGATTCTCTTGGTTAGGTAAGTAATAAATATTAAAAAATGTTATATTTATTGAACATTACTTATAATTTAGTCATAATGATATTAAATAAGACATAAATTTATAGTTATTAGTTGGATGTCGGGAATTGGAGACTGCACGATCTTAAAATTCACGAAATTAAGATAATATGCACGTCGTGATAATAATATTTATTAAATTTGGGTTACAGTTTTAATCTCAAAATTATAATTATTATTAATTAATGGTTAATAAGTAGAAATTACATTTTTTGTTTACACAACGCACATTAGTTAATTATTTCAATTATTCATATATATCCGTTATTTATTATGAGAAATATTGTGTTTATTCATTGTTACACTTAGGCAGCTCTCCCACCAGCGCGACGCAACTGATAAAACTGGCGATTTTTATCGCGTCTGTTTTTCTAATATTTATAAATAGTACTTCTCCCATACACGCAACGCGACTATTGTCGCGGCGACTGCGGCGTAAATAATCGCATGCGACTGAACATGTTCAGTTTCATTGCAACGATCGCCTGCGACTTGGGTAAGTATGGCCAAAAAAAACGATCCTGTTTACAACATAAAACTTGTAGAAGAAATAGAAAAATACCCTTGTCTGTACAATCATAAATTACCAATACATCTAATTTACAATCATAAATAATAATTCTAAACGAGATTTAACTGATTTGACATGGGAAAATGTGGAAAAATCATTGAAGGATAAAGGTATATTTATTATTAATCATTGAATAAAATAATATAATAATAGTAAATATTTTATTAGTATTTTATTTTTCATTTTGAAAAATACACATTTGTAGTATTAATTTAATTTTGAATTCACTTTATTTCATTGTATAATATTATATAACTAAATTAACACTTATAACAAAAAAAAATAAATATTATACAAGATAAATACTATTATTTTATGATGTACAGTAATTGTGGTTGTACAAAGTAGTTAGATAGGTAATCTAAGCCCGGATGCCGAATTACTGGTTGGTAAATTGTTATTTTCATTTTCTAGTTCAATTCCTATATTCATATTTATTTCCGTTCCCCTATTGTACTGCGGTTGGTATGCTCTACCTTCTCTGTTCCGAATAAAATTATGTAACACACACATATATCGAATAATACTGATTATTGTTTCTTCATATACACATAAAATTGGTGTACTTAGTACTTTAAATTTACTATACATCATGCCAAAAGCACACTTGATTGTTTTTCTTCCTCTACTTAAACGATAATTAAAAATTCTCTTTTTGTTATTAAGTACTCTTCTCGGATAAGGCCTCATCTAATAGGACTTAAGAGGAAATGCTTCATCCGCGACAAAATAGTAAGGAAACATTTGTATATCCCCATTGTCGTGAGGCAATTTGATACTTGTTGGTATATTAAGACCATTTATATCTAGCCAACGGCCTAAACGACAAGCTCTAAAAACCACCATCATTATTTCTCCCTGCCTGACCAACATCAATTGTTGTGAATATACCATCTGCATCACAACTCGCCATAAGTACCAGTGAGTGGTAGTGTTTATAGATAAAATTCGATGAACCAGATTTCGGAATCATTTTGTATTCTAATGTGCTTCCCGTCTATAGCACCTACAAACCATATAAACAAAAAATGTTATTTTTTGTCTTAATATGCTTTCACATGCTTATTTGTATACATGTTTAAATGGTTTGTGGTCAATAATATAGTACACCATAATATAGCCATTTTTTTTATTATATTATATTAAAATTGTTTATGTACCTATACAGTTAGGAAGGTTCCACAAATCTTGAAAGCTTTCAGCTATCGTTTTCCATTTTTCAGCAGTTGGTATTGGTATGTATATTGCAATATATGCAATTTATTTTACCGTATATTAAGAGTCAAAAGTGTAGATACTCCTGGAAATCTTCCTTCCCCTCCGAATGTTGTAGACGATACATTTAATGAAACTGATGAATTCGAAAACATCGAAGAAAATATCTTCGAATCAACTGCAGAAACTTTAAACATGTCTAAAGCCAGTAATGAATAAGTATTTACTTAAAAATTCAAGAAAAAAAGACGAACACTTCAGATGTGACAGATCAATGTTTTATTGATTATATTAACACAAAAAAACAAAATTCCAAAAAAAAAGAGGATCCTAGAAAACAGTTTTTATTAAGTATGTTACTCGAAATAAACCAAATGACTGACATCCAAATGAGGAAATTCAAACGTAAAATGTTAGATGTAATTGATGATATTTTGGGAGAAACAAATACCGGACCAGCTGACCATTTCCAACCTACGCAACCTATTTCTAACCATTCAACTCATTCACAAAATTATTCTGACTATCCACCAAGTGTATCATCATACTGTTCTGACTTTAGTTCAATGCTAACTTCACCCATGTTCATACAAAATTCCAATAACTTTGAACATACACAAACAGTACAAGAGTATCCAAGTATGCCTCATGGTGGGTTAATTTGAGTAATATTGAACAAGTTCAGCAAAATGATCAAAACACTTGTATACCATAACCACTCGATATGAAAGAACACATTATAAGAAAATAATATCGCGTTTCTGTTTTTTTAATTAAGCATATTCATGCATTTTTTTATAACATTTAAAAATCTAAATTTCTTTAATAAACAATTTTACTCGTATGTCAAAAATTATTTTAAAATTTTCCTGAAGCATTAAAAGTTGTATATTACTTATTTGGTTTACTGTATATAGATGGCATAACCCATTTATAATATTTAATTTTTCTAACAGGTTTATACAAAATATTTAATGCTTATTACTATATTTATTTATTACAATACACAGTTTCTCTGTTATTATTATCTAAGGTTCGTGTATGATTTGAATGAGAGTCATTGATTTTTATAACTTCAAACTATTCAAATACAAAAATGGTAGATATTACGATATAAAATGGTAAACAAAATGTTTTTAGATAATATTTTAATAATACAAATATTAACAATTTTATTTATTTTATTAATATGAGTTTGTGTGCCTATTCTGTGATTTTTGTATTTATAGCGTATTTTTCCTCATTTTTAATGCAACGATTTTTAGTACATATTTTAATGTCCATGAATCATGAACTTGGCCAACCCTCGTGCATATAAATATAAATTATTAGTTCATAACAATACTAAATACGCGTGAATATACGAGTACAATACATACCCTATTGTTATTAGAAGTCTTTCTTCGACTCCAACACATTTTCTAAAATGAGTATCTTGTCGGCTGATGGCCGGTCCAAGCAAGTTGCAAAGTTTTGAAAAACTTTCTTTACTCATTCTGTAAAATGACTAAAAACGTTCTGGATGTAATAATAGTTCTCTTGAAGCTACATACGCATTTCTGTTGATATTATTAGCTAAGTAAGGATGAATCCAAAATTTACGTTTTTTTTTTTTTACTTTTTAAATAAGACCACATTACTATCACACTATCATCTGAACTATCCGATTCCATTTTCAATAGGTACACGGTCACACAGATGATGCTGGTGACGAACTGTCAAAAATAATACAAGTACAATTTTATTGTTGATGCGACATCAATCGCGTGAATGAGCGATTCTACGCGAAACTCGTTCCGTACGACAGTTTCGTGGTTTTTTTATTGAGTTGCGTCGCGTCAATCGCGTCGCGCTAGTGGGAGAGCTGCCTTACGAATGGCAAAAAAATATCTATGTATCGATATATCGATATTTTAGCAACGATATTTTCCCTCCGATAATAACGCCACATCGATATTTTAGGTCTTTGATGTATAGTTATAGATTACCTAATTCTATGTCTATAGTTTACCGATATATCAAGGTCAGGGAAATTTTTCCCATCCCTAGTTTCACTTCAATTTACAATGTGATGTATATTATATATTTACATTAAGTTTTTTGACGGAAAAAAATTAACAAATTTTTTTTTATGTAAACGACAATTAGTTATTTAACTATTTTCGCAATACTAATTACAATGCAAATTTAAGTTTTAATTTATATCATTTAAGTTCCTTATAATTGATAATTCCTATATTATGGAGCTAATTAGAGCCAATAAAACTACTTTAGTTCTATGGTTATTATTTCTGATAACTAATAAAAAATATGTTCATCCTCAACTGTTAAAAAACATAGAATTAAGTATTAACCACGGTAGGTAGTTCTTTTCTCGTAAATTTCTTTTTAAAAATAATATTGATTAAAATTAAGTTATGTTTTACAGTGGGTTTTATATAAACCATTTTTATATTTCCATAAAATATTGTTATATAATCCCTCTGAGTTTTCATTCCCTATAGTAATAATTTTACATTTTTCTTTGAAGAATGTTTAGAAATCTTAAAATTTTGAGTGCGTAATAGAAGAAAATATTTTATCCAAATTTTATTTACTATAATAGAACTAAATATTGTAACAAAAAATATGAAAAAGTTTTTACGATATTATTTAGTAAGTAGATATCCCCGTTAGGAAAGATCATTATTACACCATAGAGGTGGTAACAGTGGCATAGCTATCATAAGACAAATGTGGCAGAGCTCAGAGCTGTAACTATGGTGAGGTGAGCGAGGTACTTGTCTTGGGAGTTTGAAGCGGGGGGGGGGGGCGCAAAAATATTAAATAATTAACTTATTATAAGAAATGTTATTTCTTGTTATGATAGAAACCTTATTACAATTTTTCAGATTTTTCCGAATC